TTATTATTATTAATTTAAATGTAGCAATTGTTAAATGCAGATTTAGTTACTGTCAGCCGCACCATGTTACAGCGTACACAGTATAATTTCCCCAATTCACATAAAAAAAATGTGTGATTTCCCCAGTTTCCCAAATCCAAACATTGTTGGCATTGATACATTAATAATCCTATCGAATCGCGCGTAGGATGTTCCCGTGGGATATTTACTATTCGCCAATAGACCGTCGTCACAAATTGAGTTATCACAACAAATATATCAAAACAGACTTGCAGACAATTCGACCTCGATGCTCTAGGTCAGTGATTCTCAAAGTGGTCTATATCGACCCCCAGTTGTCTATGACAAACTGCAAGGGATCTGCGACAACTATCATCTTGTTGTTTTAACTTCATGTTTTTAACACTAAACTTTAGTACAGTTAGAAATTTACAAAAATCAATACCAGGTAAGAATGGGGGGTCTACCCAAAACCGAAAAATAAGGGGTTTACGACACAGAAAAGTTTGGGAACCTCTGTACTATGCGATACCAAGGTTGAGAACCTAAAAACGTCTACGACACAAAAAAGTTACACCTCTGCTCTAGGTAATAGTCGATTACTTGAATGACGAGCGTGCATGGCAATAGTTGTTCCTGCACGGGATTTTCATTTAATGTCAGACATAGACACCTATATAAATATACATTGTAAATAAACTGGCTTATAAAATAATAAATTAGTTGAGTTTCTTGTCAGTTCTTCTCAATTGAATATGTATACTGAATTAGACTGTATGCAAAAAGATATTAATTAAAACTTGACGTTCATAAGCGAAATAATTTTTGATTTTATATGATTAGCGGTTTAGCCCTCCGCCTCATTTACAATGGTCGCGGGTTCGATTCCTTGATTTGCAGACCATGAATAGATAGATAATAATTTTACAGACACAAACAAATTCCTGAGGTATAGTAAAAATAAATGTTCCAATAAAAGAAATGGAGGTGACTAGGGAATTAGTGATTAGGGAAACAACTCCTACAGATCTGCAGAGTTGATATTCTGCTGGCTTCTTTATAACTATTAAGGATGTTTGTTTGTTGATCTCGTTGTAAAGTCCCCAAGTATCGTTTAGAAAAAGTCAATAGGTCTTTTATGGGAATAGGTATAAAATTTTACAATAAGATACCAAAGGATATATTGGAATTATCCTTAAATAAATTCAAAACATTTGTTAAATCATTTACTGAGCAAGGCCTATTACTCACTAAACGATTACTTGAATGACGAGCGTGCATGGCAATAGTTTTCATGTTCGGGATTTTCATTTAATGTTAGACATAGACACCTATATAAATACCTATGCATTGTAAATAAACTGGATTTAAAAAAATAAGTAATTCAATTGAGTTTCTTGCCAGTTCTTCTCAATTGGATCTATATATCGAACTGGACGGTAGGGAAAAAAATTCTAATGTAAAAACTTGACGTTCATAAGCGGCTAAAATGTCCTACATGAATAAACTATTTTTGAATTTGAATTTGAATTTGAAGTGTTCTCTAATCCATAGCTGATAATATTTATGTTTATTATATATGAATCCCTTAGGTATGCATTGTTTTTTGCTTATATTTTGTTTATCATTTATTATATTTGCACTGTCAACAATTATCTCTGCACCACCTATGGTTGCCTGGTAGATTACATGGTGTAAGTCCGCCAAATGCTTATTACATTTTGTATTGTATATATGGAAGTTAAATAAATTAAAAAATGGGATGATAATAATAATAATATCTCAGGACAATTCACACAACGCCATCTAGTCCCAAGCTAAGCAGAGCTTGTGTTATGGGTACTACACAACTGATATAAATACATACATTTTTTTGTAAATACATACATATTATGCATAGAAAACACCCAGAGCGATACACACAATCATACTCATGAATACAAATGTTTGTACCGTGCGAGGAATTGAACCCACGACCATTGTATATAGGGCAGTGTACTAAACTGCTAATCAAAAGAAATCAAAAATTATTTATTGATATAGAACATTTTAACCGCTTATGAACGTCAAGTTTTCAGTATTAATATATTGTGTGCCACTTGACCACCGAGGCTGTAATGGATTGTTACCAATATTTTAATACTATCTCTTTAATATCTCTACAACATATCTAAAATCCTTTTTTTGTTTAGCAACCTATATATAGTTATGAAAGAACGAGACACGAGAATTGGTGTCTCTGTCATTCCTTTTTTATTTCCCTACAGGGGCAGATCTACTGCTATTATTTGCTAACTCACGGTTAGACCGTACTTAGCTTCGATTAAATCTGTTATGCATCCCATGACAGTTCTAGAAAAAGATATTGTATTCATAAATCTACCGATTGTCCTTGAGTATAAGGTCGATTATACAATGCTCACTGATAACGTGTTCAGAATGCCAAATAATCTGTGTTTTTATATATATAAAAAGGCGCTAAACCACGAATGACTGAAGGAAGGACTGGCGGCGCGGTTTTCCTCTATCTTCTGGGTTTTTTTTATACAACTATGGTGACAAACATACAGTCCATCTCATGGTAAATGGTACGTGACAGCCCTGGTGTTTCAGGCGTCCATAGGTTACTATAAACGCCTGAAACACTAGGGGTATCACGTGCGCGTTGCCGACCCTTTAGGCACCTTAATATCTTGAAAATCCCCATGCTGTAGTCTCGTGAGAAGGCAGGTATTTAATACCACAATGTAAGTGTACGCGGGAGGAAGCTCCTCTGAAACCGCACTGTTCGAGACCACTTAGGTTCTAGGTGCCCCGCAGATTCCAGTCATACCCGACGTTCCACAGGACCGGACCCAGAACCGATCCCTGTGGAACACCGCGTTGCATCTCCCTCTCAATCACCGCGCCGTTCCGCCCGATACACATCACTTTCCTGTCTTGGAAGTAGGCCCCGATCACCTCCCGAAGGTAGGGAGGCACTTGGTGAAATTTGAGTGCCTCCCTAACAGACTCAAAGGGAAGGGTGTTGAAAGCATTTTTGATGTCGAGAGACACCGCCAACAACACCCCTCCCCGGGAGACTACTTCATCCGAGAGGGCACGAACCTGAGCGATCGCATCGATCGTGGATCGGCCCTCCCGGAACCCGAATTGATTCGGAGATAGGTCGGGACCCACCCGGACCAGGTGCTTGACGAGGCGGCGTACTATGATCCTCTCGAATAGTTTGCCGACCTCGTCAAGAAGGACTATCGGGCGGAACGCCGAGGGGGATATGGAATCCGCAGGGCGCCCCTCCTTGCGGAGCAGGACTACTCTGAAGACTTCCACTTCTTGGGAAATCGCCCCGACTCCATGCACTCATTGAAGAGGCTTAGGAGTCGGTCCCCAAGGGCACCAAGGGCCAAAGACCGAGTCGTAGACCCCTAGCCATATTTTTCGATTTTGGGTATACCAATTCTTATCTGGTATTCATTATTTGTAAATTTCTAACTGTAGTAAAGTTTAGTATTAAAAACATAAAGTAAAAACAACAAGATGACCGCTGTCATAGACCCCTGGGGGTCGATACAGACCACTTTGGGAATCACTGGCATAGTACATCTAAAATTTATTACATGCCTGTTCGGTACTTAGTTTCAGTTCTTTTTTTTCTACGAAACGTTACCCTCTATTTGTAAAGAAAATATCCCTCTACGTCTGAATATATTTAAATCCCAATGATCCGTCCGTCCGTCGCCTTCCCTTATCATAGACAACAAAGAAAAAGAAAATAAATAAATATAGTTGTTGCGGGTGAGTGATACCACAGATAACATAATATTACATAGTGATACTATGTTGTTGGTCGAGACGATGTATATTACGGATGATAAGAAACTGACAATATGTACATAGAAATATTGATCTTATATACTAAATAACAATAGGAAAATGTAAGACATTATTAAATCAGTTTATTATTTTGACACAGCAGTGCTAATAGTCACACAACGTTTCTATCCGATACTTATATATGTAATATTATGTTATCTGTGGTCATAGTTATAGAAATATATGTATTAATATATGATATATATTTTGATGATATCTCAGATGGTAGATGATGATGGCTTCAGTAGATTACGGGGTGAATAAATGATAAATTTCGCTTGATAGTCTTTTAATGGCAAATATACTATTTATTACAAATTTGGTGGATGAACAAAATGTATATATGTGGATTGATATTTTAATATACGTTGCGTATATATATATAAATATATGCTTGGTACGCGACAATATATGTATTAATAAATGTATGATATATTTAAATTAACATAGCTATTTCTCAGCATATATTTTGCAAATGTTTGTATTTATAACTAGCTGTACACGCGACTTCTATCGCGTGGAAATTCACTTTATTTTTCTAAAAGAAAAGTAGCCTAAGTTACTCCTCATTACATCTGCTACCTGTCAAAAAAAGTCCCGTCAAAGTCGGTCCAGCCATTTCAGAGATTAGCCGGAACAAACAGACAGACAGACAAAATTGTAAAAAATGATATTTTGGTGTATGTACCGTATCTATATTCATATGCATGTAGTAAAAAACGGTTATTTCAATATTACAAACAGACACTCCAATTCTATTTATATGTATAGATTATAGAATTGCAGGTATTGCGTGGGTCAGATAGTTAATAGGTATATAAAACTGTTATCTACATTACGGTACTGGCAATGTCTCTTCCGATTGATCCTCCTGTCCAATTTACTGGGGATCAAAATTACGACGGCCTAAGCCCAAGTTCGAACCCCTAACGGTGCCCTCAGACTAAAGTCGTATCCGTCAGGCGGGAGTTGACCTTCAGCCGCTCCATAAGTCCTTCCTTGGCTTGGAGTGCCATCTGCACTCGTCCTCTATCGTCCGGTGCAGCTGTAAAGGTCAGCTGCGGCCAACAGCATTAGAGAGGTCCAAAAAAATCTGACGATATTCAGTGTATGAATTGTTTCAGATCTACACATACCAACAAACCTGGCAGTCCAGGGACCCTGAACGGCGTCAACGGCAGCGTCCACGGGGAGGCAAGACAGGCGCAGTCCAGGAAGGCCATCATCAGGATGCTTGGTGAGTATGATGAAATAATAATCTTATATATAAAACTAGCCCGCCCGACTTCGCACGGGTTTAATGATGATACCAAATATACATAATTACCTAAATTTATCAGTGTTTCTATACGATATTATGCATGTAATATAGATATAAAGCTTCTTTAATCACTCTAACTATTTAAAAAAATTGCTTCTAAATTCATTGTGTAGTTTTAAAGATTTAAGCATACATACACGGACAGACAACGACAGCGACTTTATTTTATACTATGTAAAGATTCTCGTGTCATAATGTTAGTGACCATACTCTTCTTTGTAACGTGTTTTCTCTTAGAAATTTTATATGCATTTTTCATACCCCTGACCAGCCCTAATAATTTTTGTTTTTTTTTGTCCGTTTTTTATACCTAATGTGGCATTAAAATATACATACAACCCTAAATATTCACCCTTCTATGACAGACTCCTTTTTTTAATAGCGGTAGCAGCCAAGAAAATCTAATATTTGTAATGCGTCCATGTGAAGCCGGGACGGATCGCTAGTCGCTATCGATTTATAAAACGGCGGAGTAGCCAACCTACTTTAAATGGCAACACTAAATCTGACACTCCAAGAATAGTGATGGGCCTGTAATGGAATTATGGTCTTGTGTGGACACAGCTATGATAAATTACATTGTATTGAAGAATTAACTGGCAACACCATTACTTACTATGATTAATGATTAATTCTTTACAAATAGAACATAACTTCACAATAACAATTAATTTTCTTGCTATAGACCATTCAGAAATAGGTCATGTATTTTTTTCTCATATTTTTCCACAATTTGTATTTGTGTGATTTATAATTTGTAAAGTAATTGTAAAAAATTTAGGATGTTGAGGTGGGCTCATAAAGTCGTCTGCGTAAAAATTGCTTGGCGATCCAAAAATCTTGGCGATTCTAAATTCTTTAAAAAATCACCTGCCTTATACTGAATTTATTAAAACAGGTGTTTTTATAATAGAAATAGTAATTTCTCAGGACAATTCACACATCTATTCCCAAGCTAAGTAGAGCTTGCGTTATGGGTACTAGACAACTGATATAAGTACATAATATATTTTTTAAAATAAATCCATATTATACATTATGCATACATAATACACAGACCGATACAAACAATCATACTCTTGTATAAATGTTTCTACCGTGCGAAGAATCGATCCCACGACCATGGGAAGTAAAGCGGTAAAGTTATGTTACCACTCTACTTCCCACAGTTATATTAGTATTAATGACAGTTGGTAATCAGTTAACCTCTTACTTAACTGATAAAGTTAACAATAATCTAGCAAACTCCACCACGCTACAAATTAACTTAAACTTGATAAAACTTAAATTTATTGATTAACATTGGGCACAACAAATACTAGTAACAACATTAATTGGGACCGACTCGTGTTTAGATAAGACGTTTGAAAGTTACTGGAACTCATCTGTAGCAGTAATCTAAATATACTATATATATATGTATATACTCAAAGGTGTCTGACTGACATAGTGATCTATCAACGCACAGCTCAAACCACTGGACGGATCGGGCTGAAATTTGGCATGCAGGTTGATGTTATGACGTAGGCATCCGCTAAGAAAGGATTTTGATTAATTCTACCCCCAAGGGGATAAAATAGGGGTTGAAAGTTTGTATGAAACTTTGTCAATTTTAAACCGATCGGGCTGAGACTTTGCATGCATAAAGCTACTATGACGTAGGCATCGCCTAAGAAAGAATTTTAATAAATTCCACCCCTAAGCTGATAAATTAACAAAATTTCATGAGAATCGGCCGTTTCGGAGGAGTATGGGAACGAAAACTGTGACACGAGAATTTTATATATGAGATATACAAAACTTATACAGGTATGAACAACTGAACAAGCCAGCCTGCCAGCTTATGGCAAGGCCAGAAAGGCAGGTGTCAAAAGTGACTAGAGAATATATACTTGATTATGAGAAGTAGAATGTAGTGCTGAATTTCTTCTGTTCATCGATCTGCTTTTTTGTACTATAGCAGTTCTGTCGATCCTGAAAGGATAATCACGGAAGCTGACTTGTTAGCTTTTACAGTGCTTAACGAGCAAGGAAGTGATCGAATTTAACAAGCGACCGTTAAAAGTGTAACGAAAAGCCTAAAGTCATCAAACCCAAACCAAGGTAGCTTGTATTAAATGACTGATAAAAATACTTAAACATTTTTCTCTATTGTAAATTGACTCTTAATATATATAGAAAAATATACATATCATGTATGTATTATAAAAAAAACTGTATGTAAGTATTTATATCAGTTGTCTAGTACAAAACACTAGGTCTGCTTAGCTTGGGACTTGATGACGCTGTGTGAATTGTCTAGGTTTATTATTATTACATTATAAGTATTAATGTTATGATATGTATTTATAAGTATGCGTTTATTTCCGGTATAGCGGCTGTGGTTGTGGCGTTCTTCGTGTGCTGGGCTCCGTTCCACTTCCAGCGGCTGTTCTTCATCTACGGCATCGGCTCCAACCACTACAACACCATCAACAAGCACCTGTTCAGCATCGCTGGCGCATTCTACTACGTGTCCGCCACTGTTAACCCTATTTTGTACAATGTGATGAGTCACAGGTTAGTAATGATGATTATGATGGTGATGAGGGTGGTGATGATGATGATGGTGGTGGTGGTGGTGGTGGTGATGATGGTGGTGACGATGGTGATGGTGATGATGATGATAATGTTAACCATGGACAATTCAAGTCACGCCTTCTAATCCCAAGCTTAGCAAAGTTTGTGTTATGGATACTAAGTAACTGAGAATGGCTCAGTTTTCAGACACATGTAAAGAATATTTCAATATATATAACTATAATACACAGACAAAATAAAGAACAGTGCAGAGATCGAACTCTTTACCATCAGGAACAAAGTCAACGCTAAACAACGAATCCATTAATGTTTTATTTTAAGGATTGTGATAATGATACTATACATAAATATATTCAAAATAAAGTTGAATAAAGGGGTTTTTCAATGAATATTAATTATTCTCTATTAGAAATTCACCGAGTTACTTTCAAATGTAGATTGGTGAATGCGGGTAAATAAACAAAGTGGCAACAATACTTGTAATTATTTAGATCTCTCTGACACGTTTCTCTTATCCACGCTGTGTTAATGTTATGTATTTTTAATGAAAGCTTTAAACCTGTTGTTATTATATACTAGAAGCATATCCTGACTTCTCTCACAGTTATTGATATTGAATGTTTGAGTTCAGTAAAATTTTAAATTAAACGTGATGTGCCTTTTTTGGCGTAGTATATAAAAATAAGTCCGCAAAAACGTGAATAATAAATACAGATGATAGTTCATTCGTCATACTCGTGAACGAGTACTGCTTGTCGGAACTGGTCTGCTCTTATCACTCATCATCTGCTTCTTCCTTATCGCATTTATTTGGGGTCGGCGTAATATGTTTTTCGCTTCCATTCATCCCTGTTCGCAGTCATCGTGTTATTTACTTCCTTTCTTACCATATCATCTTTCACACAGTCCATCCACCACTTTTTCGGCCTTCCTCTGCCCTTATAACCATCCACATTCATTTGTAACATCTTTCTTAAAATATTATCCTCGTTCCTACGCATTACATGTCCATACCATGATAGACGATTACTCTTCAACCTCTCTGACACCGGTGCCACTTTCATACTTCCTCTAATGTATTCATTCTTTATCTTATCCATTCTTGTCACACCACACATTCACCTCAACATTCTCATTATCACTACGACTGATTTAATCTTATTGTGTTTTTATATTTGAGCCTATGAATTAGTGCTGGTTGGTAGTTTGTATTCACACGTTTCGACTTGTAAAATGAACTTACAAGGATTGTTTAAAAGAGCAACATACAAGTTTCTTGCTTATTCTTCTTGTGATAAGACAGCTTTCCGCATAAGCGGTAGATTTAAAAAAAGTGTTGACTATTCAAAAGTGGTTAAATTAAGTTCATTTGAATAAATCATTTTCTATTCTATTCTATTCTATTCTTTCCTGGTCTGTTTGTAATATAAAAATAACCTTTTTTTTACTACATGCATATGAATATAAATACGGTACATAATAAAACAATAAAATAATATTTATTACAATTTTTGTCTGTCTGTCTGTCGGTCTGTTTATTTCGGCTAATCTCTGAAATGGCTGGACCGATTTTGACAGAACTTTTTTTGGCAGGTTTGTTGTTTGGCTGATGTAATAAGGAGTAACTTAGGCTACTTTTATTTTAGAAAAATAAAGTAAAATTCCACGCGGACAAAGTCGCGGGAATAGCTAGTTACTAATATATACTCGCGAGTAAAAGTATGGAATCACTTACTTGGAATTGATTCCGCGCGATCTTGAGTACTTAATAACTATTTAAGAATAATAAAAATGGTACCATTTGAAAGGTCAAACTGTTAACTTTAAATTGCTATCAAATTCATTTTAAATCACAGCAGTATTTAAGGAGCTATCCCGGATTATGTGAAGAAATAACGAAAAAGTCATTCTATTAAATTAAATCCCAAAGCCATATATTTGATATAATTGGATATATGGATGTCATCCATCCATTCATAACCACAAAGTTTCTCGTTTAGAATATGTTTGAGAATAGGTGGAAGTTTAGTCGTAGAGAGAGCTAATGAGATTTTAGTAAATTTTCTAATTATAATCATACTAGCTTTTGCCCGCGGCTTCGCTCGCGTTAATTTATCCCCTTAGGGGTGGAATTTATGAAAATCCTTTTTTAGGGGATGCCTACGTCATAGTAGCTTTATCCATGCAAAGTCTCAGCCCGATCGGTTTAAAATTGACAAAGTTTCATACAAACTTTCATCCCCTTGTGGGTAGAATTGATCAAAATCTTTTCTTAGAGGATGCCTACGTAACATCTACCTGCATGCCAAATTTCAGCCCGATCCGTCCAGAGGTTTGGTCTGTGCGTTGATAGATCCCTATGTCAGTCACCTTTGAGTTATATATATTTAGATATACAAATGTTCGTATTGTACATGGTCCGAAATCCGAACCATTTGAATGTAAGGCAATATATCAAATCGCAAAAATCAAATCAAATAAACGATATATCTATCTATCTATCTATATAAACCAGAGCCATTTCGGAAGCAATGAAAATAAAATGTAGATATTTCTTTTATAATTTCATGTACAATTGTGCGGTTTCATATCAATTCAGTAGCAATTTTAATATAAAACCAAAAAGGAAAATAAGAGGAACAATAAATAAGGACGTATTAAATATTCTGTAATATCAAATATCAAATAAATAAAATTGTTCTCTTTTGCAACCGTACACGAATACAAATTTCATAGCCTGACATTGTGCTCGCAATATGTTTTGTAAATGTATTTACATTTATGTATCTAAATATATATAACTCAAAAGACTGATATAGTGATCTATCAACGCACAGCCCAAACCACTGGACGGATCGGGCTGAAATTTGGCATGCAGGTAGATGTTATGACATAGGCATCGACTAAGAAATGATTTTGAATAATTCTAGCCAATAAAAATTCTAGCTAATACCCCCAAGGGGATAAAATAGGGGATGAAAGTTTGTATGAAACTTTGTCAATTTTAAACTGATCGGGCTGAGACTTCGCATGCATAACGCTACTATGACGTAGGCATCTTCTAAGAAAGAATTTTGATAAATTCCACCCCTAAGGGGATAAATTAACGCAAGCGAAACCGCGGGCAAAAGCTAGTTATTATATATATTTATATAATACAAAATTGCTTGTTGAAATGGCTTTTGTTATTTGTATTATTACATTAGCTACTCGCCCACTAACTTCCTCTTGAATCACTCTATCAATTTCTAAAAACTGCATTGATATCTGTAGCGTAATTTAAAAGATCTAATCGAATAGACAGTGCAAGCGACTTCATTTTATACTATGTAAAGATTAGTATTAAGTGATCCATCAAACGATGTTTTACTATACAAAATAATGTAATAATAATAATCTCAGGACAATTCACACAGCGCCATCTAGACCCAAGTTAAGCTAGCTTCTGTTATGGGTACTAGACAACTGATACAAATATATAGATATTTTTTTCGTAAATACATACATAATAAACATAGAAAACATCCAGACCGATACAAACAATCATACTCATGAATACAAATGTTTGTGCCGTGCGAGGAATTGAACCCGCGACCATCGGACGAAAAGCGGTGTGCTAGACCATCATCGTCAATAATGGTTGATAGTCAAAGAGCGTATAGGGGTTGAATATTTAGGGTTGTTGACATAAGAAATATTAAAAAAATCGTTAAAATCGGTCCAACCGGTCAGAAATTAGAATAAACAGATAGCCAGACAAAAATGACGTTATTTTTTATGTATTTTCCGTACATGTGTATACTATCATAAGCTTTTAGTGAAAAGCTATTAATTTGAAATGTTTTAAATTGCAAACAGACAGTTCAATTTTATTTATTATATATGTATAGGTTATAACGTAAATAAATAAATATTACATTTTATATTTCAAACAAATCAAGATTATACAACGAACCACCCACCTCATTCTCACAACACTTAATTAATATGAAATGTTAATCACAAAAGGTGTTCGTTTGTGGTTTACAGATCCGTTAAATTGTCACTTTAATTATATTTAATTAACTTACAATGAACATAACAGAATAACAATAATCTTTAATTAAACAAACATAATGTAAGAACATATTTTAACGGTAGAGAAAAAATCATCATCTCAGCCCGGAAGACGTCCACTGCTGGACATAGGCCTCCCCCAAAGATCTCCACGACGATCGGTCCTGCGCTGCTCGCATCCAATGCCTTCCAGCGATCTTGACTAGAGAAAAAAATATTAATACAAAAAAACTTAACTTTTTACGAACGTCAAGTTTCTTGTATTAATATTTTGAAGCGCCTAAAATGTCCTATATTAATAAACGATTTTTATTTTAATTTTATCAAAAGTTATTATTTTTGAGAAAGTCAATTTCATTACTTATGTTATTTTATTTAATTCCACAACCATTCGGATGATTCCTTGTCCAGAGCCGAAACACTTGTCGCAATATGGGCGTAGACTCAATAACGGTCAGAATTTGATCACCATTCCTACGTAATTAGCATCTCATTGATAGAGATATTTAGTGGATTACATATATAGTAGTAAATATAATTTATTTCGTTCCGATTGCAGTTGCACGTTACATACAAACTGTTACTTAGCAACAATACTTATTTTAAATGTGATGGATTATACTTTTTCTACTTCAATCAATGTACTTAATACGGTCCCTTAATCCATTACATTTAAGACATTCTACATCTCTACATTTAAATAACATACATAATATAAAACAATATACAGAAGAGTAAACAATAGAACTACTAGCAAAAAACATATCCAAAATTAAATCTGTTAAAATACTAACAATTTCTGTTGGACCTATACATAACCTGATAGAGATATTCAGTGGATTACATATATAGCAGTAAATATAATTTATTTCGTTCCGATTGCAGTTGCACGTTACATACAAACTGTTACTTAGCAACAATACTTATTTTAAAAGTGATGGATTATACTTTTTCTACTTCAATCAATGTGCCTAATACTCATTTGGCCCGTTATGCGTGTAGAGCCGAGACTACTAAAATAGCCAGCCAAGCTCCTCCCAGAAGCACAAAAGCCACCTGGTACATTATAGAAGGTAGTCAAGTTTCCACGTCGAATAATTGTGATCTCACACATGCTAATTGCAGCGAAATTAAACAAAATATAAATCCATCGAGTAGTGAAATGAATAACACCTAATTCGATTAAATATATACTCTTTTGTTATATAATTAAAGTCTGTAGTCAAATTACGAATAGATTATATTGTGTTTAATATTATTTGTCTATATTCTTACTGAATGTTAAATGAATTATGGTCGAATTTCGACTATTTATATTGTACAATCGAACGAGATAACATTTAGTTGTTTTTGTTCTTAAGTGTTCCACTAGATGGCGTTGTTTAGTTCTATACATTTTTCTACATCTCGCTAATAAGATTTCTTTTTGAGTACATTCAGTCTTTTGATAATTATTAATAAAAAATCCCCTCCGATCGATCCCCCGTCCAATTCAAACGGGGATCGAAATTACGACGGCCTGAGCCGAGGTTCGAACCCCTAGTGGTGCCCTCAGACTAAAGTCGTATCCGTCAGGCAGGAGTTGGCTTTCAGCCGCTCCATAAGTCCTTCCGAGGGTTTAGATGCCATCAGCTGCGGCCAACACCATTAGAGTATCCGAAAAAAAAACTCATAATACAACCATTGTGGAAAGATTTTCGTAGTTTAATTTATTTAACTTCCCTAATCGAAGTACACTCTTGGGGATCCATGGATAAGAGTACTCAATATTATTATTTCTTTCTACAGGTACAGAATAGCATTCCGCGAAACACTATGCTGCAGCAAAATTCGCCGGAAACCAAGCAGATACTACCGTGAACAGTCCAGCGTCAGGGAGACCATGGTGAACCACACTTCAGAAGGTGCCATGGTCAGGGTTCGTCAAAGCCATGGACGGAACCGTATAGACAGGAAAACCTTTAGCAGATGCAGCTACTACGGCGCTGAGACCATGGCATTATGCGAGAAATGGAAGCAGGATTATTGCAGAGATGGCACCAAGATGAGTTTAATCCGAAGCGAGAGAGACAGCATCAGTTCATCGCCGTGCAACAATAACGAAACCCAGGTGTTGTATAACGATAATGATTATGATAACGATTATAAAAATAACCAATTGAGTAACGTTGATGATAGTAATATAAATATTAATATATCTATACATTTGCATAAATAATTTAATTGACGTTTTATCAAGATATACTTTGTATTAAGTAGACTTCGTATATACCTGAGTTTAATCCGAAGTGAGAGAGACAGCAGCAGTTCATCGCCGTGCAACAATAACGAAACCAAGGTGTTGTGTAACGATAATGATTATGATAACGATTATAAAAATAACCAACAGAGTAATGTTAATGATTGTAATATTAATATATCTATACATTTACATAAGTAATTTAAATAAGTTTTTTGTCAAAATTCACTTCATGTTAAGTAGTCTTTGTGTATACCACTTTCTCACCTATATTTACCTCCAAGCAGGTTTTTTTTTGGATTATAATGAAATCGTGCACCTTGTCTATCTGTTTGTTCCGGCTAATCTCTGAAATGGCTGGACCGATTTTGACGGGACATTTATTGGCAGGTAGCTGATCTAATAAGAAGTAACTTAGGCTACTTTTATTTTAGAAAAATAAAGTTAAATTCGACGCGGACGAAGTCCCGGGAACAGCTAGTCTATAATAAATTATCTACTACACTTACAAATCTCTGTTTAAAATTATTGAAAGAAAAACTAATGAAATAGCTGATTAATGAGTGTTTTTACTTATAGAAAGATTATTTTATATGCAAACTGGATGACATTATATGAATTTATGTTGTTAATATTATTTATTTTAACTTGCATTGTATAATTTGGCGAATTTTGAATAAAAATAGCTTTAATACATATTGAGAAGTATTTCTATAATACATCTCGCCGATCCACCAGTTTTTTTTTTGTTACAATGACAGTTAACTCTTTTTTTTTTTAATTACCTACTAAAAATATTTGGGCTCTGGCCTCTGACGTTACGATACAGGTTACTCTGAATACCTTACATAAAGAAACATGAGTCTGCTAAACGCAGTATCTTTGTTAGGCTAAAACATAATTAAACTCTGAAATTGATTATTACACGTATGAATAGCTAAAGTTAATTGATTTTTTAGAGTTGTAATCGATTTGTATGGGTAAATTAGTGTGAGATGAACAAATACTTAAACACCTACTCATTTTGAATAAAAACTTTATAAGTTAAATCTATTTATATATAAATGAATTATTGCTATTTTAAGCAATAGTTCTAACTTTACATTTCTAAATTGAAATGTGTGAATACAAAGTTCTAACTAGCGCTAAACCATTAGAGTCAAAATAGTAAATACACAATATACAATAAACACTAGTTGACCCACATAACTTTGTCTGCACACTTACTTGTCATTTATCTACCCATCTATCTATATGATATATGACAAGTTTCTTGCTTGTTCTTCTTGCGATGAGACAGCATTCCGAATGAGCGGTAGATTAAAAAAAAAATGTTATGACTATTCAAAAGTGCTTCAATGTAAGTTTATTTGAATAAATGATTTTCTATTCTATTCTATTCTGATATATATATAAATGAGTTGCTGTTCGTTAGTCTCGCTAAAACTCGAGAACGGCTGAACCGATTTGGCTAATTTTAGTCTTGAAATATTCGTGGAAGTCCAGGGAAGGTTTAAACGGTGATAAAATATGAAGAAATTGCATGTAGAATAGTAATAACAATTTTATTTTCCCTTAAAACTGTCAAACAGGGTGCGTTCAGAAACTTGTTCTGAGGAGGAATGGAGTTCGCGGGTAAACTTGTAACAAATAAGTAATGTTTATAAAATTACTACACAATGTTGTTTTTAAAATTGTAACTTCTATATTAAAATTTATACTGTATAATATAATGTATAATTAAATTGTAAAAATAGTTTTGTATAAATAAAAATAAGTTACAATAACAACTATGTAAGTAATTCGGTCTCCATTTTGTTTGTTGTAAATGTTTATAGTCATATTACTCCTCTTTAAATTTGATTTGTTGTTTGTGATTTTTACTGTTGATGATATTAAAAAAAAATAATTTGTATAATGTTTCAAAAGTACTTTAGCTTTAAGATGGAAGAAATGTGGACATGTCGAGTACGACATTTCAAACAATATAGAGTTACCTATTAATATCTCTGTCTGACAGAGGTGATGATGATGATAATTATGATGATGACCTCTGTCTACCCCAAGTGTTGTTATAGTTCAAAATTCAAAATATCTTTATTCATGTAGGTCTATTACTGACTTCTGTGATATGTCAGATCTACAATCAGTTCGGAATGATTTCGAAATGAGAACTGACAAGAAACTCAGCTCGTATTCCTTTCAAATAAATGTTGTACATGTTTACAATAATACAGATTCATTTAAATTCAAATTTGGGAGAAGTGAGTGTTGTTATAGATGTATATATACATATAATAGTATTTTATATTTAGAGTATCCTCTGAATTAATATTGACTGATACATAGTATCAAAATATAGTTTTATAAGATTTATTGTGTAACAAAATTATACGTAGATGTACAATATTCGTTTTTGTATTAATCTGTATATATACTTAATAAAAACAATGCATTAACTTCAAAACTATATGTATAATAAAGTAATACAGAATTATATCTGAAACCAGACGCTGATCTCAGGATGTCCTGAGATCAGCGTCTTCAAAATAACAACCAAACAACCTCTTCAATTTTATAACATTAGTATATATTAGTATTCGAGGTATGAGTTATATCTTAAGAATAGTATATAGGTATTTCTAATATTGTGGTAAGAAGGTGAAGGAAGACTGGATAAAGGTAGTAACTATCTTTGGTTAGTTAAACATATTGTGGATATATAAAAATATAAACATATCGTCGATTAAATAGAAAAATGACATTTTTCAGAATTAGAATCTAGTATTGCCTCCTTTTATATAAGTCAATTAAATTAACCATGCATGTCTTAATCATTATCTAAATACTTTTAAAATGATATGTAATATATAACTCAAAAGTGACTGACATAGTGATCTATCAACGCACAGCACAAACCACTGGACGGATCGGGCTGAAATTTGGCATGCATGTAGATGTTATGACATAGGCATCCGCTAAAAAAGGATTTTGATTAATTCTACCCACAAGGGGACAAAATAGGGGACGAAAGTTTGTATGAAACTTTGTCAATTTTAAAACCGACCGGGCTGAGACTTTGCATGTATAAAGCTACTATGTAAGCCTAAGAAAGGATTTTGATAAATTCCATCCTTAAGAGGATAAATTAACGCGAGCGAAGCCGCGGGCAAAAGCCAGTATTATATAATTCTGTGTAAATTTAAAACTTTAAAGGAAAAAATAATTTAAATAAATTTATTAACTTTAAACGCTTGTCTACAAGACAAGACAAAAATGTACATTTTAAATAATGATATTTTTCTATTTAACCGACGACCATCATCATCATGGCAGACCGGAAGACGTCCACTGCTGGACATAGGCCTCCCCCAAATAGAATAGAATAGAATAGAATAGAAAATCATTTATTCAAATAAACTTAATTTAAGCACTTTTGAATAGTCATAACAATTTGTTTTTTATCTACCACTCGTTCGGAAAGCTGTCTCATCACAAGAAGAACGAGCAAGAAACTTGTGTGTTGCTCTTTTAAATAATCCTTGTAAGTTTACATTTACAAGTCGAAACGTGTGAATACAAACTACCAACAAGCACTAATTTTTTGGGTCAAATATAATCATGCAATAAGATTAAATCAGTCGTAGTGATAAGAGCAGACCAGTCCCTACAAGCAGCACTCGTTCACGAGTATGACGGATGAGCCAGCCATCACTGCGCTCGACCATATTTTAGGGAGCCCATTGACCCGGCCCACCACGCCGCCACATGTCTGGACATTTTAGTGAGCATGACTACTCATTCCACACGACCACGTCACAGCTACAGAAATTACTATATGGTAGTTACAGTATTCGCACTTTACATAAGGATGCATGCGGCAATCAATACAAAAGCCGCTACGCTATCATATATCAAGAAAGCAGTATGAAAATTAAAATTATAACGTTGTCCGCAAATAAACTTATTCTTGCTATATATTGCTATCATCTATAAATTCATCTATCTTATAATAGGCTTTTTTACATAACATTTGTTTAATATAAGATTTGAATTGCCTCTCTGTAAGATTTAGCGTAGACTCTGGCAGTTTATTATAGAATCTTACGCAATTACCATAAAATGAATTACTAACTTTGTGTAGACGGCATTTAGGTAAAATTAGCTTATTTTTATTGCGTAAGTTTCTACTTGTACAGTCTTTAAGTTTCTTGAAACTATCTAAGTTTTTCCTTGTATACATAATATTTTCATAAATGTACTGTGAGGCAACGGTGAGGATATTTGATTGTTTAAAGCATTGACGTAATGACTCTCTAGAACCCATACCATAAATAGAACGTATGGCTCTCTTTTGTAAAATAAATATAGTATTTATATCGGTAGCTTTACCCCATAGCAGTATGCCATATCACATAATGCTATGGAAATAACTAAAATATACAAGTTTTGCCGTCGCCACGTCTGTTAATTGCCTTATCCTTCTAATTGCATAAGCAGCAGAACTAAGTCTACTGGCTAATTTTGAAATATGGGGCCCCCATTGTAACTTCGAGTCCACTGTTATTCCTAAAAAAACTGTATCATTAACAAAATTTACTATTTCATCATTAGGCAATAGCTGCGTATTTACTTGTTTTACATTAGGCAGCGTGAATTTAATGCACTTAGTTTTGTTGGAGTTCAATAATAGATTATTACATGTGAACCAATTTAGTATAGCAGAGATAGCATAATTTACATCGTCTAATTGATTACATTGGCGACCAATTTTAAACACTAACGAAGTATCATCCGCAAATAACACTATATCTGCAACTTTCTCTACCATGTAGGGAAGGTCATTTATATAAATTAAAAAGAGAAATGGGCCTAATATTGAACCTTGAGAAACGCCCATTTTTATATTAGTTCCCTTAGACTTTACACCATCAATATCTACAGTTTACAAATATCTACAAATATCTCCACGACGATCG